GAGAAATGCGCCTTCAGAATAATTTCAAATTTTCCACGTACGACTTAACACTTAACTGTGTCATCTATTTTCTTCAAGTTGTGAAAAATTCGTTTTCTAACTTTTCTAGTCAAGAAATATGTACTCATACTTTGTCTGTAGAGACGAGGGACGTGCCTTCAAAATAATCCCAAATTTTCTATGCGCGACTTAACGCGCGTGTCATCGATCCCGTCCCTCGGAATCGCGCGCGATTTAATTTATTTTTCATCCATTTCGCTGACAATTGACGAACACTTTTGTCGCGCTCCGGCGGACGTTAGCGAACGATTTACATAGGAGAGTGTTTGGGAGCCATCACGTACGCCATCGAGTAGTTAATACCTATTTTCGTTCGGCCCGTGCGCGTTCCACGGAATTTTATTTGGCGGCAGTGGACCGTAACGAAATCCCTCGGCGCTGCGCGCCGGCTAAAATCCCGTTCCGGGGGCCGCGATTGGCGGGCGCTTGATTGAATTGGCGGTCAGTGGTGGGCATTAGGTCCAGCTTGCAAAGGATTGAATTTCTGTCACAATTATTGACCCGTCCCTCTTATCCGCGCCGGCTACGGTACCGTGAGCGCGCACACCCGCCGAGCTCTCTCCGTACCAATCGTCTAAACGCAGCTGCTGCCTTTAATAGGAAGGGCAACGAAGGAGGGTAAATCTGAATCTGGACGGGGCTCTCCCACACGACACGCGGATAAACAGCGCGTTTTCTACGTAGCATCGGACAATTTGCAGAAACGGACGCTCGAACTATCCGGTTATTTTCCGCACAGGACGCGAAATCGTAGGCTGAATGCGGCTCGGGACGATTGGAGTGCCGTTCAATTACATGATATAACATCAAGGACTAAGGTAAAAGATATAAAAACGAAAGATAAAGTGGCACAGATGCAACTAGTTATATAAGAGAATATCGATTGGGTCACGAGACGCGCGTGATTGGAAAGAATCAAGGATTCGTTGATGCGACGATCTGCTCAGCACATTTTCGTTCATATTCTCTTTAAGTCACTAAAGAGACTTATATATTAATAACTCTCTGAGGGTAGAAGTTAACGTCGACTCTGTTACGGTGGACCCGTCAAACATTTCTCCACATTAACACCAGTCTGTTCATCGTGGTATTGGAAAGCCCCGAAAAGAAGAGTGTCACGGTCAATTTGGACTGACGCATACCTTCGTCGTTGCACCCGACGTGAGATGAATCTGAGGATTACGCGATCGAGATCGATGTCGGGCGCGATATTTCGCGTTCGAGTGGTCTTATCGGCAAGTGTGTTGTGCGAGCGCCGCGACGTGGAACTCACGATTGCATAGATCAAGATTTATATTTCATATGCACGCGCAAGCGAATAACCTTTAAACATTTTAGAAATAGCAAATTAGAATAGCAAACTACTAATTTTTCTTAGGTTCATACCTACGGTCGGAATCTAAAATAGACTTGCTCTGAAAGTTAAACGCGACTCGTAGAAAAAAGAAAGTAGAAGTGAAAAATCGAAGTTTCAGTCACTTACACGGAGAAAAAATGTTTGGCGTGTTTGTGGACTATAATCATACAGAGAAATAATTATAAATTGTGATCAAGAGAAAACCATTTTATTTTATTAAATTCTACTATAATACTTGTAATAATGATATTAAATGCATATTAATACAGTCATTTTACTATAAAAAATATGATTAGAGTAAAAAATAACCGTAATTTTAATTAGGTCAACGATTTTTTTCTCTTAATATGATAGAAAGAGAGAGAACATCGAGATATTACTAATTATTATATTATAGTAATTATGCGTGAAGCTAATTATCACGGTGCAACAAAGTATACGTCGCTGAAACCTCAAAGAACCGTCTTGAGAAGTTGGCATCGCCATGTGATAGTAATCTACTTTGATTTGGATTGGCTTCTTTACGGCCTGACCTGAACGCGGATCCTGACCTCCGTTAACCGGGTATCGGTGACCTCGCCAGTCGAATTGAACGATGGTGGCCCGATACGACAGAGCATGTGCTATCCACATTTCGATCCAATAAAATATTTCAAAGAGATTGCTCTAGTTAATTCAATCGCTGGACGAGTCCGCATACGTGATTATCTCTGCGGTCGCGTTTGGAGACAAAGAGATGAAGTATTTATTTTCGCGGAGAGTGAACGTTCCCGTCGAACAATATTTATCAGAAATTTTGATCTTTTTCATTGCTGTATTTAGCTTGTCGGCTAAATTCCTGTCGAGTTGTTAAGCTAAAGAGACGTTAATTACTTTTATTAGTTTTCTATCTAGAACATCCATAAATAAATAAATATATATATATATTTTTTTTTATTTATTTATGGATGTTTT